TTTGGTAGGTGGTGAGGCACGCGGTTCCATAGATGCGCGGCCGATGCGTTCCGAGCAAGGCATGTCCACGCAACACGTGCACCGTGGAAACGGAAATGTCTCCCGCCAGCGAGCACATGCGCGGACGAGGGGGGGTGCCAGGGAGTGCACTGAGAGAAGCAGAGGGGCCATGACATGAAATACAACCAGCCCATATAGTAAGGATGCGCGGTAAGGATGCAAGGGCCTTGGAAGGCCATGTCGACACCTTGCAAGCGGGGTGCGGCCAGCGAAAATGGACAAGGATGGACCGAGAAGGCACGGATGCAAGGGTACCCTTGGGAAGGCTGCCCATCCTTACTATACGGGTTGACTGTATGGGAGATCTCATGACCCTGGTTATGAAATCCAGACCACCGCATAGTCACCGAGCCCCTTCCAGACTCGTGCATCCAGCGGCCGTTCGGGACGATCCAAGCACCCCTGGAGGCCCTCGACGAGGGAGCAGCTGCTGGAAAGCATCCCGAGGCGAGAAACCTCCAATAACCAACGAAACCTTCCCTAGAGGAAAGACAACTGCATAGGTATGAGCTGGAACTGGTTCTTCAGGGATTTCTTGGGCCTGCGCTGGGCCCCCCTCCCCTGGCGCGCTCTGCGCACCAGGGGAGGGGGCGCCCTTGACGCCGTTCCAAGAAACCCGCGAGGAGCTCAAGGAAGCCTATGTTTACGCCGCTCTCTCTTATCCGAATCCACCTGTTCTGCGAGGCGGAGATATACCCATATGTCCACCGCTTGTGGAAACGACGTCCTGGGACCCCAGCGGGCGGTGGACATGGATACATGTTGGCCCAGAGGGGGCTGAGCGTATCGATATCCACGGCCTGCCGAGGTCGCCGAAGATTGACCCCGCGGGTGGTGGTTTGTCGAAGTCCCAGCCTCGGGTCTCTCGCCGACGAGAAATCCTCCCCCGCCTCCTGGATCGGGAATCTACTGACCCGGGCCAATGCAAACCCAGATCAGCCAGGGTTTGCAGGATCCTGCAGAATCCTACAGGACCCTGCAAGATCCTGCACGAGAGCCTGGGCCCGTGCACCCCTGGCTGCGCAGGATCCTGCAACATCCGGACGCCCTGGCCGACCCCCGTTTGCATTGACTCCCGTCTCTTCAGCCCCGACTGGCTTGCCCCCTAGGGGGACAAAAAGTGGCATAAACATAAAAACCCGGAGGTCCGCGCGGATTTCTCGGATCGGCGCTGGGCCCCCCCGGCGGCGCCTCCGGCGCCGCCCCCTGGCGCGCTCCGCGCGCCAGGGAGGGGGGTCCAGCGCCGATACGAGAAATCCGCGCGGACCTCCGAGTATTTATGTTCATGCCACTTTTTGTTGACCTACCCACCCCAAATCCCCCGCCCCGCCTCTGGCGACACGCTGCCGGTGCCGAGCGTGACGTAGCCGCCCTGCGCCCCACGGCCCCCGGAGAGGAGGGCGGCCGGGGGGCGCGCGGGGGGGGGGGGCGGCGGCGGCGGAGGGGAGCGCGGCGGCCGAATGGCCGTCCAGCGGGGGCGCACGCGAAGGGCTCCAGAGTGCGATGCAGCGCACGGGGAGGCCAGAAGTGCGTCAGAAGTGGACGCAGCGAAGCAGTGCACCATCACGCGGCACGGTCGGACTGCATCGGGCAGGACCCGCGAGAGGACCCTCTGATCTCGGGGCCACGGGGGGCCCGCACGGGGCCCGCGGTCCGACGGCTCGGTTCGCCCCGGGGCCAGTCGAGGCAGCGGCGGGCCTCACCGTCGTTGTTCCCGCCTGACAGGTTGGGGCCGTTAGACTTTAAGAGCAGACCTCCCGGCCAGACCACCCCGCAAAGCGCGGCCGCCAGATCCCCAGGTCCACGGCGAATCCCCCGAGGCCCCCGCCTCGCGCCGACCCGCACACTCTGCATACCGCGGCCGCCACATCCCCAGCTCCACCGAGGATCCCCCGAGACCCCCGCCTCGCACCGACCCGCACACTCTGCATACCGCGGCCGCCAGATCCCCAGCTCCACCGAGGATCCCCCGAGACCCCCGCCTCGCCCCTTCGACGAACACGAGAAAACCTGACAGAACTGTGCCGACACGGGCACGGTGGTGCCATGCGAGCGCAGCCACTGGGGCCCTCGGTGGAGCTCTCTATCGGGCCACGAAGCGTGTGACGGGTGTGCCGAAACAGAGGCATGCGGAGGGCCGAGGCAGTGATGAGAGGAGGGAGAAGGAGGAGGAGGAGGAGGAGGAGGAGGAGGAGGAGGAGGAGAAAGAGGAGGGAGGAGGAAGAGGAGCATGGTGGATTAGACGGGGGGGCACAGCAGATGCAAGCGGTAAGAGGCATTGCCACAAGAAACCTGGGGGCGAATGTATCGTCGATCGTTGCGCTTCCTGCGGTGCCGCAGGCTGAAGTACAACAAACTGAATGAGCAAAAACTTTGGGAGGTTTGCGCGGGACTTCTTGGACCAGCGCTGGACCCACCTCCATGGCGCAAGGAGCGTGCTTGGGGCAGCGCCAGAGGCGCCGCCAGGGGTCTCTGGCGCCAATCCGAGAAATCCGCACGGACCTCGGATTCTTCTTCGACCAGGGCGTCTGCTCGTTTCCAGGGCCGTCGCGGGGATGAGGAGTCTCCGTGAGGCACTTCTGGTAGGCCAATCTCTAGTCTGACGCGCCTGCCGGTAGGGGGACAGGCTCCCCCGCCAGGGTACTACGCTCGGTGGCTGATGCAGCCGAAGTCGAGAGCGACCGTCCGCCAGGACGAGGGGGAGCAGGGAGGAGGGGGCAGTCGAGGGAACATCAGAAAGCAACTCAAAGAAGCTGTTGGGAGTCCGCACGGCGCCCGATACAGCGCGCCCAAGCGCGCTCCAGGCGAACATACTGCGTCTCCCTCCTATGGCGCTGCTGGGCGCTGTTGGTCGTGGTTGGGCGCTGCTGAGCGCGATTTGAGCGCTGTTCGGCGCTACGGGGCACGATTAAGCGCTATTGGGCGCTGCTGGGCGCAGTTTGCCGATACACGATCGACGCAAGACAAGCGGAAACTTCCGTGGTCTACGATCTACGGGAAGAGGGAGGAAGCCCCGCGCGTGCTCTGGCGTCAAGTCGGGCATGTCCCCCATATACAGGCGGACTTCTGGTCTGGACGAAAAATAAGGAATAGTCAACAAGTACCCTTACATGTTCAAAAATCTTCAAAAAAAATCATACCCGTACCGTTATTACGATATGTTCGACTATATTCCCCCTGTAGAGCAGAGGGGCGTGCCCGACTTACGGTACGCCGCGCGCGTGCTCCTGGCGTGAGCCTCCCGGCCTCAGCGAGCGCCCTGGCTCAGGGCGCTCGCCGCCAGGAGCACGCGCACGGGCACGCTGCACGGGCACGAGCAGCAACGCCAGACACGGGCGAAGAGGCCAACATCGCTGCGCACGTCGCGCCACGCCGCAGTGCACCGGCCCTGCAGCCGTGCTGCAGCGGATTCCTGCGTGGACGTTTGCCCGAAGCGGCGAGCGAAAAACGGAGTGAACTTCGCGGGGGTTCTGTTTGGTCTTCATTCCGTGCCAAGAAAAATCGCACGATGTTCCCATCGAACTCCAGAAAGAAATTCTCAAGGACACCCTGGGCCCACACTATCGTTTTCCGAACGAAATCCGCGCTGCGATGTTGGCGCCATGAAAGATCACTGCGCACGTCACGCCACGTCGCATCGGGGTAAGCTGCGTAGCTTGACGGGGAAATGAGTCCGTACAGGGTACATAAAAGAAACAAAGCATAAACTCTTGGCGCTCCGCGCGGATTTCTTGGATCTGCGCTGGACACCCCTCCCTGGCGCGCGGGGCGCGAGGAGCGCCCCAGGCGCGGCGCCGGAGGCGCCGCCCGGGGGGCCCAGCGCGGATCCAAGGAATCCGTGCCGAGCGGCGACGGACATTGATTTTATGTTCATGGGGTTGTTGTCTTCTTCGAGCACGTGCATGCAGCATCTACGTACACTTGTCTGCCCCACCATGCCGCAGGCACTGATCGGGTGTTGGCAGAAGTGCCCCTGGCCCAAGGTGCCCCCAGCTTGTCGCTCCATTCGGGGGGCCGTGGGGCCCTCCGAGCCTCGCAATGGGGTGCTCCGGAGGCCGTCTGGGCCACCCCGAGAATCCTGGGGGCACCTCGGGCCAGGGGTACTTCTGGCAACACCCGAGCTGAAATCGGGTCGGGCGAAAGGGGGGGATAGCAAAGGGGGGGTTTGAGAAATCAGCTCGCGGTAAATAAATAAATAAAATCATAGCCTGATTTTTCCCGGCCAGAACCGGCGCCGGGAAAAAAGGCAGTCATGTATCGAGGAATGGGCCCCTCGGTCGGGCCGAAACCAGCTGCATGCAGCAGATTTCGTAACCCCCCCTTTCCCAAACCCCCCCTTTCGCCCGGCCCGATGAAAGGCCTGCCCTCGGGCCCTCGATCTTCGTGTTGGCCGACTGCTGGCGGGCGCAGGGGCCCGCCGGAGCCCCAGAGCTCCAAAAGAAACGTTTCGGGAGCGGCAAAGGGGGGGGCGTCCAAGAGGGGGGGGTGCAAATCAATACCGGCGGCACGTGGGCGGCCCAGCGGGGGGGCCAGGGCTGTCATGAAATAAGAAGAGGCGCCATGAAATCCGAGAAATATCATGGCCCCCGCCATGATATCCGCCCCCCCCTAGTCATCACCCCCCTCTTTCCCGCCCCCGAACGTTGCGGGGGCCGTGCGGAGGACGCTCCCGGAACTTGTCGCACGACCTGCCCCGACGCCTCGGACAAAAACCGTTGTGGGTGGGGCGTGTGGGGGGCGCCTCCGGAGCTGGTCGCACGACTCGCCCCAACCCCTCGACGATGCGGTTGGGAGACCAGCCCTCCAGTGCCACGAGGACCCCTGGAGCGTGTCCTGGGGCCCTCTTGGGAGCCTTCTGGCCCCCCCTAGAATTAGGTCGGGCATGTCCTCTCCTACATACAGATTTGGGTGGAAAACGAACACTGGGCAAAACATGTCCAAAAATAGCAAAACAAAATCGAAGAATCGTCCCCAGACTATGTTTGTGTTATTTTAGGATACTCCTCCTGTAGAGGGACATGCCCGACTCAGTCTCAGAGGTGATCGGAACCGATTTCAAGGAACCTCTATAATTGAGACGCTACAGCGACTGGGCGTTCGCTGTAAACTCCTGTCCCTTCGGTCTTACGAGCGTCCAGGAAGGCCCAAGGGACCTCCAAGGTCGCTCCGACGAGACGGCTTCCTGCTGCATCCCGAGAAGCCCCCCGGAAGGCCCCAAGAGGGGACCCACAGGGGGACCTCGAAGGGAAACAAGGAGTCAGCCCTCAAAGAATGCCCCGCCCCCCCCCCCCCCTCCCAGAGGCCCCCAAGAGCGGGGATACTCCCACGGAGGCTTCCGAAAAGACCCAAAGGGCCTCCGAGACCCTGCTGGCATGCTCTCGGGATGCAGGGGATCTGCAGCAGCGCACGCTCCGCGGCGAATGCGGCCATCGTGCCACCAGAGGTCGGCGGTTCCAAGATGGGCTCCTGCAGGATGGGGCCCTGAGGATGGGAAGGGGTCCAAGGAAGGACTGGCGCTGTTTGACCGGCCGTGGACAAACCTCCCTCCAGTAAACCTCCCCTCAGTGAAAACGGCCTGGGACCGAAGCCGACGGACCTGGACCCGCAGAAATGACGGCCGCGACGCCCTCTCGCGAACCGAAGACGGCCAATTCCTTAATCGACGTGTCAGGGTAGGAGGTCTGTCCACCCCCGAGGGAAGTATGAGGAGGAAGGAAGCATCAGAGGAAAAGCACAAGGAAGCACAAGAGAAAAAAGGAAGTCGATCCACCCCCGAGGGAAGTACAAGGAAGCATCAGAGTCGATCCACCTCCGACTTGAAGCACCCAGGCCCTCGGGGCCCGCACCCCTCGGGACCCCACCCCTGGAAGCGCCGAGCGGGGGCCGCTGGGCGCGAGGAGCGCGAGGAGCTCCTCCGGCCACGGCGGGTGCCCCGCCCACGAACCCCGGGCTCCCCGGCCCGGCTCACAGGAACGGTCGGTCCGAAGACCGCGGCCCCTCCCGAGCCTCGCCAGGGTCCTCACGTCAACGTCTGGACGGAGCCCCGAGCCTCTGCCGAGCGAGGGGCAACAATCGGGGGGGGGGGGGCAGGGATAGGGGGGAGACATCGACCTGGAATCGGCGATGCATCGCCGAAAGATCGGCGATAGGCCCCCGATGGTGAATCCGAACGTTCCTGGGCGGGTTGGGGCCATCAGGCCCAGAGCGGCGGTCAATGGGCGATTGGGGGTTGATGCATCCCCCCCTATGCCTATCCCCCCCAATCGTTGCCCCGGACCGCGGTGGCTTCCCCAGGACCTGCGTTGCATCCCGACTCATCCCATCTCCTCCTCCTCCTCCACCTCCTCCTCCTCCTCCCCCGCATCCTCCTCCTCCTCCTCCTCCTCCTCCTCCTCCTCCTCCTCCTCCTCCTCCTCCTCCTCCCCCTCCTCCTCCTCGGCCGCCGCCCCCTCCTCCTCCTCCACCTCCTCCTCCTCCTCGTCGTCCTCCTCCTCCTCCTCTCCTCCTCTCTCCTCCTCTCCTGTCCCTCACTCCTCCTCCTCCTCTCCTCCTCCTCCTCCTCCTCCCCTCCTCCTCCTCCTCCTCCTTCCTCCTCCTCCTCCTCCTCCTCCTCCTCCCCTCCTCCTCCTCCTCCTCCTCCTCCTCCTCCTCCTCCTCCTCCCCTCCCTCCTCCTCGGCCGCCGCCCCCTCCTCCTCCTCCCTCCTCCTCCTCCTCCTCCTCCTCCTCCTCCTCGGCCGCCGCCCCCTCTCCCTCCGGGCACGGCTCGCAGGACTCGTTGCCGATGCTCTCCTCGGCCTTGTAGCTGCCCACGGCGCAGGGCGCGCAGGAGCCTGCCGCCCCCACGCGCGGGGCAGGGGACGGCGCCCCCCACGGGCAGCGGCCCCCTTGACGGGGTCCTCCTCCTCCTCCTCCTCCTCCTCCTCCTCCTCCTCCTCCTCCTCCTCCTCCTCCTCCTCCTCCTCCTCCTCACCATCATCATCATCACCTTCATCATCCTCCTCCACCTCCTCCTCCTCTTCCTCCTCCTCCTCACCCCCCTCCTCCTCCTAGTAGATTCGAGGGGCCCAGGGACACATTCGTTTCCTCGGCGGCGAGGCAGAGGTAATCCGCACCAGTGAGAAGCGATTCGTAGGGAAACGAAGAATGACTCAAACAAAAAACTCGGAGGCCCGCACGGATTTCTCGGAACCGCGCTGGACCCCACTGGCGGCGCCTCCAGCGCCGTCCCTGGCGCGCTCCGCGCGCCAGGTCCGCGCGGACCTCCGAGTTTTTGTGCTCATGCCATGATTCGTTCCCCTGAGAAGACAATCGATGCGGGGCAACCGAAGGTCGAATTGGCCGGCACGGAGAAGAGCGGGGAGAAAGAGAAAGGCAGACGAGGCGGCCGCAGAGGGAGGGAGGAGGCGGAGGGGGCACTCAGATGTGGCCGAGTTCCGCCCTGAGCGCGCTGGCGCGGCCAGCAGCGGCAGCGGGGAGCGTGCCAGCTGCCGGGCCGCGACGGCGGCGAAACCGCTGGCGCTGCCGATGCCCAGGGCGCGGTGGAGCAGGTCGTAGACAGGGCCCAGGGACACACAAAGAAATAGGCACAAGGTTTCTGGGTGTTCGTCTTCCCCCCCCCACACACACACACTGCCCACATTTGCTCCCATAGCTTCCTGGGATATCAACGATGAGGTGTGTCTGTGCGTTGGAGGGTCGCGCCGCATCGCCGAATCGCCGATGCATCAACGATGCATCGGAGAAGTCGGCGATGCATCGGCGACGTCGGCGAGAAGAAAATCGGTCTCCACATCGAGCCGTATCGCCGATGTATCGCCAAATCATAGCGGACGCATCGGCGATGCAGCGGCGACGGCGGCGTGGAGAAAGTTGGGCTCCACATCAAGCCGCGTCGCCGATGCATCGGCGATGCGGCGCGATCCTCTTATCCCTTCTGCTCTGACCCCATCTGGGATGCCTATGGTGAGGGGGGGAGCTGGATAGAGGTAGAAACACTGCAGAAGCATACACTCCTGAAACTCTGGGCGGATATGACCTAGGATCGGAGCGGCGACCCCTAGAAGCGATCGATACAAATACCCGCTGGCCCGTTGGCGCACCCCCCCGTAAATTGCTATGAGCCAGACGGATGGAGATGGGTTCTGGATACTCCATGATGGGCAAAGTTCCACCACCACCACCGCCATATGTAGGACGGCGGAGAAGGGAGGATGAGGTCTTCTTCCTCCTCCCTCTCGTCTGTCTGCTCCTCCTCCTCCTCCTCCTCCTCCTCCTCCCCCTCCTCCTCCTCCTCCCCCTCCTCCCCCTCCTCCCCCTCCTCCTCCTCCTCCTCCTCCTCCTCCTCCTCTCCTCCTCCTCTCCTCCTCCTCCTCCTCCTCCTCCTCCTCCTCCTCTCCTTCCTCCTCCCTCCTCCTCTCCTCCTCCTCCTCCTCCTCCTCCTCCTCCTCCTCCTCCTCCTCCTCCTCCTCCTCCTCCTCCTCCTCTCTCCTCCTCCTCCTCCTCCTCCTCCTCTCCTCCTCCTCCTCCTCCTCCTCATACTCCTCCTCCTCATACTCCTCCCTCATACTCCTCCTCCTCATACTCCTCCTCCTCTCTCCTCCTCCTCCTCCTCCTCCTCCTCCTCCTCTCCTCTCCTCCTCCTCCTCCTCCTCCTCCTCCTCCTCCTCCTCCTCCTCCTTCTCCTCCTCATACTACTCCATCTCCTACCTATGGTAGTGGTGGTGAAAAAGGGGCCCATCACCCCAGGCTCTGTTGAGCCGGCTCTTCGTCCTGAGTGTGTTTGTCGCCGGGCCCTGAGTCCAAGGAAAGGGGCCGACACATCGAAAAGTACGAAAAGAAACCAGTAGGAAACCCTTCCTCGGGACCCCACCTGGCCCACGGCGAACTCGTGGCCCTCCCGCTGCCGCCCAGCCAGCGCCCCCCCTGGCCGAGGTCCACCGTCGCGGAGCCCGCGTCCCAACTTACAAGTCCAACGCGGATCACAGCTGAGGTTGCTGAGGTGACAGGGTGGCTCTGAGCGGATGCGGCGGTGGGCTGTACCTGGCCTGACCTATCTGATACATCGGATATACGTACCCTCAGTCGCGTAAGAAGGTGAGGTAACCCTACAGAGTGGGCTCTGCCACCTTAGCACGGGCACCTGCGCCCGGCAAGACGCTCAAGGCACGTGCACCCCACTTGTGAGCTAGGTTAGAGCAGATATGATCCCGGGTCGAGGGTTCACAGCACCCCCTCCCAGTTGGGATGGGTCCCAGGGTTGCACTCCCCCCCGGTGGGATGGGGGAGGGAAGACGACGGCGACGACGACGACGCCGACGCCGACGCCGACGCCGACGCCGACGCCGACGACGACGACGACGACGACGACGACGACGACGACGACGACGACGACGACGACGACAGTCGCCGACGGCGACGGCGACGGCGTCGCCGACGGAGGACGACTCGACGACGACGACGACGCCGACGACGACGACGACGAAGCACCCCACGCCCACGAGGGGGGAGGGGGGGGGCACCGTCACCCACAGGCCCACGACACGCCCACGGGGCCACGACCGCAGTGGGGTGCAGGGAAGCGACCCACGCGAACGAGGCCCTGGGACCCTGGCCCTTTGGGGAACTCTCGGCAAGAGCAGCGGAGCGTCCACCCGCCACGCCACGCCTGATGGGCAGATTTTCCACCACCACTACCATATGTAGGACGGGGGAGAAGGGAGGATGAGGAGGTCCTTCTCCTCCTACTCCTCCTCGTTCTCCTCCTCCTCCTCCTCCTCCCCCTCCTCCTCCTCCTCCTCCTCCTCCTCCTCCTCCCTCGCCTACCTATGGTAGTGGTGGTGGGAAATGGGCCCATCAACGCCCACAGGCCCACGACCACGGGGGGGGGAGAGCCATCCCATTCGCGAGGCCTTCGCGAGGCTCACGGGCGTACCCATCCAGCGGCGGGGGGTGCAAGGCAACCCTGGATCAGATATAACAGTAAGTCGGGCGTGTCCCCCTACAGGGAGATGTCCCACGAAAAATGCAAACTACCCCCAAAATACCCCCAAAAAGGCAAAACAAATACACAAAAAATAGTCCCCCGACTATTATCGGATTATCTTTTGACTATTTTGGGGGTACTTTTAATTTTTCGTCGACAGTCCCCCTGTAGGGGGACAGGCCCGACTTAAATGTAACACACCGTGACATCCACTTTTAACCCCCCTATCCCCTTCGCAACCTTAGCGGCGACCCAAGTAGCCCCAGCGATCACGGGGCCATGCACGGCAGAGCGCGACGACCTGGCACAACCCTGGGCGGCCGCGAGGCGCACCGGAGGGCGGGCCGAACGGGCGCCCTTCGCCTCCCCCGAGACTAAGACGAAGCCGGGACGAAGATAAACTCGAGTGAGGATGAACCGAGAATCTCTGAGATCCGGCGGCTCTGGACGATGTGTCGGGCGCCGCGGCCTTCTCACAGCGTTTCGGAACGCTCTGAGAGCGTTCCGGGACGCCCTGGAACTGATTTCTCCTCGTCCTAGCATTGAACAGGGACCGAACGTCCCGGCATTCCTATAGTCCTATCACGAAATGTTCCTAGAGCCCGAAAATGTTCGAATAACAAAAAACAAGGTTCTTAGAGCATAAACCCGATGTGTTAGAACAAGACAGTCCCAGCCAGAAATGTTGTAAGAACATTTCGTGGAAACCACAAAAGGTTATCATAAGATTGTTTGGTAAGCCTATAGGCGAGCCAGGACGCTTCGCCACTGCTTAGTAGCACCGTCCGAGAGACGCTGGCGCGCCCCGTCGGACCTCTAGGAGGTCCCGGCCCACAGCCTTGCGCGGGCCGAGCCCGGCCGCGAGGGACGGGGCGGACTTGATGGGCCCACCTTCCACCACCGCTACCATGCGTAGGAGAGGGAGGAGGAGGAGGAGGAGGAGGAGGAGGAGGAGGAGGAGGACCTCCTCATCCTCCCTTCTCCCCCGACCTACATATGGTAGCGGTGGTGGAAAATTTGCCCATCAGGCCTGACCCAGCGCGGGCGGCCTCGAGGCGCACCCAGTGGCGGGCCGAAGCGGCTGGGCGTTGCAACATCGAGGCGGGGCGATAATTGAGCAGGTACCGACCGTCCCGGCATTCCTATAGGCCTATTACGAGATGTTTTTAGAACCCAGAACAAGTGTTCTAAGAACATAATGTAAAACATAAGCCCGATGTGCTAGATCAAGACAGTCTCGGTCAGAAATGTTCTGAGAACATTTCGCTCAGACCACACAAGGATATTAGAGCATTGCTTGGTGGGCCTATAGGCAAGCCAGGACGCTTCGCCACTGCTCGAGATAAGAGGGGGGGCGATGAAACGTGCACCGTCCGCGCCCCTTGCAAGAGGCGGGAGGGGCGAAGGAACGCGCGCCGCTCGCGCCCGCTTTGGGCCCCAGGGGGGCCCCATGCAGCGCCTCGGAAGTGCACAGGCGGCGCACGGTTCTTCCCCCACCCCCCTCTAGACAAGCGCGTCCCACGACTCGCAGTGTAGCTCCTCGCAAACGGCCTGGATCCGTTGCGCCGGGGCAAACCAGCTCCATTGCATTCAACGCCACATGTTTTCGTTGACGTTTGCGAGCAGGCACTCTCTGCGGGTGGTGGAACGCGCTCGGCGACCCAGTGTACGGTCGGGCCGCTGACAGAAGGAACGCCAAAGAAGGAACGCTGACAGGCGGCTCGACCCGGGGGCGCGCCAACATGGATTGGCGATCCATGGACTTGGCGCGCGGTCGCCAGATCCAAGGGATCGGGGGAGGTGCCCTCCCCAACATGCGGCCGGCGCCGCCTCGCTCGGCGGCGGAAACCCGGGATGCCCAGCGGAAACGGGACCCGTCGCTGATCCACGCCCCCTGGATCCATGTTTGCGATCGCCCGATTGACCCGGCCCTGGCGGCCTGTGCCCCCAGCATGCGCATAAGGCCTTCCAGGGAGGTGGCCGGGGAGGCGAGGCTGCCTCTGCCGCCCGCGGGCGCGCGAGGGGCGCGGCCCCGCCCTTTCCCCGCCCCCGCCCCCGCGCGCCCCTCCTGCGAGCGTCTGCGTGCCTGCTGGGCAGGTGGCGACGCAGGAGCCGACGGCGAAGCTCCTGGGCCGCCCTCTCAAGGCTTCGACCCCTCCTCCCCCGCCACGGGCCCTCGTGCTCCTCCTCCTCGTCGTCCTCCTCCTCCTCCTCCTCCTCCTCCTCCGCCTCCGCCTCCTCCTCCTCCTCCTCCTCCTCCGCCTCCTCCTCCGCCTCCTCCTCCTCCTCCTCCCTCGTCGAGAGGACCAATTACGTCAGAGTTGTCGCCTGTCTACGGCGCTACTGTTGCCTGTCGACGGCACTACCGTCCTGCAATCGTTAGCGTCGCCCATATGCTGACTATTGACAGGATTCGGCTATTACTTTATGTTTACGGACGAGCGTACGCATATGTACAAGTGTGCAGAAGTGTGGTATGGATGTGTGTATGTATGCATGCATGCATGCATGTAGGTGTGTGCAGATGTGTGTATGAATGTACAGATGTATGTGTGTACGTATGGATGTGTATATGTATGTAGGTATGTGTGTACTAAACGTGCGCATGCATGCTTTAGTGTACGTATGAATGTGTATGTGTAGGTGTGTGTATGTAGGTATGTATGTACGCATGTGTATGTATGCATGCTGGCATATGTGTATGCATGTGTAGGTATGTGTATGTGTGTGTATGTATGTAAGGGTGTGTATGTGTGTATGTATGTATGAATGCATTCATGCATGTATGTATGTGTGTATGTGTATGCATGTGTGTGCATGTATGCGTTTAAGTAGGTATGCACGCATGCATGTATGTATGTGTGTACGTGTGTACGTGTGTACGTATGTATGCATGCATGCCTGTATGTATGTATGCGTATGTGTATGTATGTAAGTATCTGCGTGTGTAGGCATGTGTGTATGTGTGCTTGTGTCTGTAGGTGTGTTTGCATGTATGGATGAATTGATGGATGGATGGATGGACCGACGGATGTATGTATATGCATATGTTTATGCACAACTATACCTGGCTATCGCGTTCGGGATCACGTCTTCTTCACACGGCTGAGGCCGAAGAATACCAAGGCGAAGGCGCCCATCCTTTTCGTTGCATTCGTCTTCCTCCTGCGGCATCACCTTCTGCTACGGGAGCGTCGCAGCTTTCGGGAAGCGCTGAGGCGGTTGGGGGCAGGCGAATGTGGTAGGACAGCGTGCTCCAACTCTTGACTTGCTCTTCCTGGAACGCATTCTCTCACTCCCTCCGCATCCTCCCCCTCCTCCTCCTTCTCCTCCTCGTCCTCCTCATTATCATCAGCATCGTCATCATCAGAGGCATCATCATCGTCATCATCAGCAGCATCATCAGCAGCATCATCATAATCAGCAGCATCATCATCATCAACATCATCATCGACAGCATCCTCCTCCTCCTCAACCTCCTCCTCCGCCTCCTCCTCCTCCTCATCATCATCCTCCTCCTCCTCCTCCTCCCCTTCCTCCTCCTCCGCCTTCTCCTCGCCATCCTCCGCCTCTTCTTCCGCATCTCCTCCTCCTCCTCGCCCTCCTCCGCCTCCTCCACCTCCTCCTCCTCGTCCTCCTCCTCCTCCTCCCCCTCCTCCCTCCCGCCATCAGACTCATCGTCAGTATCATCTTCAGAATCATCACCACCGTCATCATCATCATCATCAGCAGCAGCAGCATCATCATCACCATCGTCATCATCATCACCAGCCTCATCATCGTCATCATCATCATCATCATCATCATCATCGTCATCATCATCAGTATTCTCAGCATCACTACTACCACCATCATCATCATCAGCATCATCATCATCGTCATCACCATACTCGTCGTCAGTGCCATCATCATCATCATCATCATCATCATCATCATCATCATGAGCATGATCATGATCAGAATCATCATCATCATCAGAATCACCATCATCATCATCATCATCATCATCATCATCATCATCATCATCATCATCATCATCATCATCATCATCATCATCGTCGTCGTCATACTCCTCATAATCAACATTATCAGCAGTAGCAGCAGCGCCAGCATCAACATCATCATCAACATCGCCATCATCATGATCAGCATCGTCATCATCACACTAGTTTGCTATAACGAGTCGGCTCGCTTCGTGGCTGCTAGGAGCGATGGTGGAACTTTCTCGGCCATCACGCACGATGCAATTGATAAATATGGACTTGCATGACGGCATTGGGCTTGTTTGTTCTGAAGGCCGATGGCAGGCGTGCGACACCACCGTCACCCCGCCGCACCTCGCCACTAGAGAAAATGTGCTGGGAGGCGCTGGACAATTGGTTCGTGGCGTGATGGAGGAGTTCGGCTTACTGTATTGGGCGTTCGACATCGTATCGAGGACACGCGGTTCGGCCAAGATGGGTGTTCAAGTAGTTTGGACTATGTCTTCGGCCCTGTGGCTGCCCAGAACTTGATCAACAGGGCTGGGCCCCCTGATGCTGGTTACGAGGCAACATCAACGGACTCCGTCTTGTCAGCTTCGTGACCACATGCCACTGCGTTGTAACTTGAAGTGGTCTTTCGTGAAACCAGAACAAGTGGGGGGGGCAAGGATTCACGGGTATTTCGACAACATGAAGAATGCACCCATACGCGAGATCTTCCTGAGTAGTACCGCTGACAAGCTTCAAGGGCAGGAGGCGGTCTTAGATTCAGCAGCTCCTTCAGGACGACCTGATGCGTATTTCTCGGCTTTGCATAAAATCGTGCAGGAGCAGGCCAGGGAGCTTGTCAGCGGACATGTACCTAATGCTCCAGAATCGTATCGTGAACATGCTCGAGCTCGAAAGGAACTTCTTCATCAACGCTAAGAGATACGCCAGCATCTTGCCAGCACCCAGAATGACCTAGAGGAGGAGCTGATTCAGGAATTGAACCAGGTAAGCAAACATGCCACCATTTATACAAGCAGCAGCTCACGCAGCGGAAAGAGAACATCTCAGAGAAAGGTTAAAGAACCCCATCGTTTAATTCGTGCTCTTGCCTGCAGGGGGTGCGGACCCCGTGGTCGTAGCTATCGCCATCTTGAAGGTGCTTCTCCTAGTGCTCGTGAAAGGCTTGAAGTATGGGGGAAGGAAGAACCACAAGGAGGCATGGAAGTTATAGGGGTGAACGAGGAGGTGGAGGAGCTAGAGGAGGGTGTGTCAGGGAGTCTGGGCTTATTTACTGCTGGGGCGGCTATGGACCTTCTGTCGATCGCCAAGTATGTGAAGCGTGCTCCCAAACGGAGATCTTGCCCGCCCTGCAGTGTGCCAACTGAAGCCTGGGGCATGATCACGGACAAATCTTTTGAATTGTCTAAGAATTGTCTGGCCTCGAATAACAGGAGGCACTCTCTCGTGGGCTGCAGTGCGTTCGGTTGGCAAACAGGTTTCCGAAGATGTGGAATAGGGAATCTGGCTGCGCCGTTCCCAAGAGTGTCACCCCAGGCCCCAAAGGAAAACGTGTCATCTACCTGCTGGCCCCCTTGGCAAGGCTTGGCCGGCTGGAACGACTGGTCGAAACAATCCGAGTGCGCCAGGATCCAACGACTATGGGTTCTGCAAGGGGAGGAGGGAGGAGTGGACCATGCTTACCATGATGTTGTTGTTGTTGCATCGTCTTCGGCTCAGCGGCTATACTTTCTTGGTCTAACAAGAACCTCAGACATGCATTTCAGAGTACGTCTTGGCGTCTCTTGGAAGAAGCGAATTCTGACGTATTATAGTATACTGATCGTCAGTTTGGACGCGACAGACTCCTCGAGTCAGCTAGTGCATGTTCTCCGAGTGGAGGAAGGCATTGTACGCCTAGATGCAGTATGAAGTCCTATTTGCAGCGACCTGTCCGATAATAGACACGGTGGTGGGTTTGCCTCTCACCAAGTGTGCCGACGACTTCTACAAGCTGCGCATAGGTATTGGCCCGTCTTCTTCGCTAGGTGACGAAGGCCTGGCAGAGCTCTCTGCCGCCAACTGATACTCCAATCAGGTGCATAATGAGGTTCTCAAGATGGGGTGATGGGCACAAAAAAGAAGCAACCAGAACACGATTGGCTGTCTCTGGTCAGGGCTCGGTTGCCGCTGGTCGACGTCTTCGGGCCTCTGCGTCAGAACTGTTTGAAGGAGGTGTCTCCGTCGATGAGGGTGCTGAGAGGGGAGATTCACTCCACGGGCTCGGTCACCCCCGAGGTCAACAAACGTCTACATGCGATCAAGAGTGCTTCTCATTCCTTGGGCAGGTTCTGGTCTACTCCAGGGATGCTGTTTCGTTTAAAGATGTCTGTACTTGTTGGTGTTCAAAATGCTGGGGTCCAGAACTTAGAGGCTTCCTTGGTGACGGAGGGCTTACGCAAGAAACTTGATTCTCTCATGGTCAGATATTATGGTTGTTATGAGGGGGGCCAGCTACGAGGGCACTGGACACGCTCAGAGACTTAGCACTGGCACTTTACGCCTGCCGTTCTCGAGCTCGCGATCCAGTACGGCACTCACAGCTATAGGGAGCATTGTTCGCCGAATTTCCAGTCGACAACGGACCGCAGCATGATAACTTGGGACGTCTCACTGCCGACGCCAACCCATGGGCGAAGCAGATCTTTGATGATGTGCAGGCACTGGAGGGTATCGAGGATGGTCGAGATTCGCTCGAGCGTGAGCAGGGTTCGTTTCTCGCTCTGTGGTGAGACAAAGAGCTTGGGAAAACGTTCAATAAGATCGACTTCTCCAATCTGCGACGTCGTCGACATACGGTGTCGATCCCTTCTCCCGAGTTCGATGGTCATCTTAGCAGCGTGCTTTCAACTGAAGTCGTCCAGGGTGGTGCTGTGCAATGGGTGTGTGGAGTTTACGAACGACGATGTGCTCCTGGTGAAACAGTCGGTCGTCGAGTCCGATGCGATGTGAAGTTCCCCGATAATAAGTCTGCGCTTCACCATCTACGTCCATGTTCGTCATTTGGGACGTTTGATTCCGTCCGAATTAATGTCCTAAATGTGTTGGGCTCTAACAGGCCCCTGGCGGGCTCCATGGCCTTGGAGTGCTGTATCGCTGGGGGTGG